GCTTAGACAGGAACACCCTTTGCTGGATAAAAAACTGTCTGGATGGCCGAGCCCAGAGAGTCGTGGTGAATGGAGTTAAGTCCAGGTGGCGGCTGGTCACCAGGGACACCAGGTGGTGTTCCCCAGGGATAGGTTTTGGGGCCTGTCCTGTTTAACATCTTTATCAATGACCTGGGTGAGGGGATTGAGTGCTCCCTCAGTAAGTTTGCTGATGATACCAAATTGAGCGGGTGTGTTGATCTCCTTGAGGGTAGGAAGGCTCCGCAGAGGCATCTGAACAGGCTGGACCGATGGGCTGAGGCCAATTGTATGCGGTTCAATAGAGCCACGTGCCGGGTCCTGCACTTTGGTCACAACAACCCCCTGCAACGCTACAGGCTTGGGGGTGAGTGGCTGTGATTTTAGGGTCTGGGCCCAGTTTTCCTGGAGTCTGCATGATTCTGTGTTATGATTTATCAACACCAGCCATTCATATTTCTCTTTGTCAAGTGGGATATACATGCTGCCTTTAGATTTGGGGGTAGCTTTACATATTCTTTGTATATAAATGAGACAGTTATTGACTTTTCAATAGCAGTTTCAGACAAAAACAAAGGGATTTTGAAAAAGCTGGGGAAGTCCATCCAGGAGCTGAGCAGGCCTTGATTTTATGGTACGCTAATAGAGGAATTGCTCCAAGGATAAATAAATGGACTTTAGCCCCGAGAAACGTTATTTTATTGAATGATAAGAAGAGGAAAGAGATCAGCTAAAACTCAGTATTTACTTTGTGTTGCAGGCCATGAGTTTTTCTCTGAAACTTGTCCTGCATCTGAAAAGCTCTGTGTATGCCTGTATTTTGCTCAAATAAAAATGGATGTGTTTGCATTGCTGCATGAGTAGAGAGAAGATTCAAGGACAGTTCTGCTCATGGACACCTTGATCACAAGATCCCAGTTTTCAGCCCTTTAGCTCAAGAGCAACAGTCTGCTTCTTAGCAGCTTACATAGCACAAACCTCACATTCCTATTCTGTCTCTAAAGGCAAATATCTTCTTACAAACAGCCCTGTACTGCTGCTGACACGCTCAATGATTCCTAACAACAACCAAGCCCAGTAGCAATTCACGACAGTGATAATGTAGAGCACTAAGTGGGTATGTACAAGGTCCTGGGGCATTTTACACTTGCAGTCAGCTTATCTCACTCTGCAATCATCACTACCTTTCAAATGTTGCTTTTCTACGTGGGTTCATAGAATCACAGAATCATAGAATGGTTTGGGTTGGAAAGGACCTTATCATCAAGTTCCAACTCCCCTGCCATGGGCAGGCATACCTCTCACTAGACCAGGTTGCTCAAAGCCTCATCCAGCCTGGCCTTGAACACCTCCAGGGGTGGGGCCTCCACAGCTTCTCTGGGAACATGTTCCCATGCCTCACCACACTGACAGGAAAAATTTCTTCCTAATATAATTCTAAATCTACCCTGTTTCAGCTTAAAACCGTTACCCCTCATCCTATCCCTACACTCCCTGATAAAGAGTGCCCCCCATCTCTCCTGTAGGCCTCCTTGAAATACTGGAAGGCTGCTCTAAGGTCTCCCTGGAGCGTTCTCTTCTCTAGGCTGAACTTCTCCAGCCCTCTGACCATCTTCACAGCTCTCCTCTGAACTCACACCAACAGGTCCATGTCTTTCTTATGTTGGAGGCCCCAGAGCTGGACACAATACTCCAGGTGGAGTCTCACGAGAGCAGAGTAGAGGGGGAGAATCACCTTCCTTGACCTGCTGGTCACACTTCTTTTGTTGCAGCCCAGGGTACAATTATCAGATTAGAAGTCATTTATGGCCCCATGTGGAACACTGAGGTAATTTTTAACCTATGGGAGAGGCACTCTCGCATAGAGTTCACAGCAGTGCTAGCATATACACAGATGATGGGGCACGATTTGAAGGCAGTAGGAAACAAAATCTGCTTTCTTCTCTGAGACTCAGGTGGTGAACTACTTTTGTTAACTCTGTGGTTCTTTCCTAAATTGCTATTATTTAGTCTTTGAAAATTGTGAGACTCTGCTGGTACCTGCAGATGCTAACCAACCCACTGGATCAAGGGCTTTGAAGTGCAAACATTGCAGACAGCCAAATGCCAGCTGCCTGGAAGCTTCCCACGTGGAAGGATTTCGGAGCACCCGTGACTGTCAGGAAGTTTTTATTTCAATGGGAAGGGCTTTCAAGGAAAAGGTGTACTTCTGTTTCAGCTGTGAAAAAAAAAGCCACCAGGTGCAGAACTTCTCACTCCCACCTCTGCTCTCATGCAGGAGAGTTTAAGCATGGAATTATGGACAATTAACAGAACCATATAATCTTGGGTGGTAATTTTTTTCTCCTGGATGAAAAATGAACACATTTCTATCTTCCAAGTAATTTTTAGAGTGGGAAAGATAGACAGTTCACTTTATGGATTTTATTTGTATTTTTAATGTTCATATTGGGGCAAAAAATTTCTAGGGTGAGGTGGCTTAAGAGCCACCTTAGGTTTCCATCAACAAGTCACTGCCTCACGGTGGCAGTGTTAGGTGCTCTTCTGCCCTTATTTCTGGGCGAGAAAAGGTGAGTTGAGAACACGTTTGGCTTTTATTTGAGCTCAGTACTTGGGTTGAATGCACAGCATCTTACAGCTGGACATCCTGAGTGCGAACTCAATGCAAGCTGCAATCTGTCAGGAGTTAAAAATGCATTTTCGATGGGTTAGCTCGAAAGATTTTGCTATTCGTGAAAACTTAATCCTTCGCTGTTAAAATGTAGTACTACACAGAGTTAACTGTGTACAGTGACAGACCATGTGAGTTAATGCTCTTGTTCTTCCCATTGTTCTTCAGAGCAGACAGAATGATGATTAGTTAAAATTTTAAATATCAGAGCAATGCATGCAGTGTAAGAACACACAGATTACTTCACAGATAAATGTGCTCTCATCAGCAGATGCAGTTTTTGCAGGATGACATCTATGTCCAAAGAGATTTCCATCACAGGAACTGTCTTCACAGTATAGTTTCTCCGTCTAAGCTTTTCTTGCCCTTTTTCTGGCTGCCTCCACCCACATGTTAAATAGGATGCCTCTTTCCCATTTGTTTGTGGAATACATTAAAAAGAATTCAGAAGTCTGAGTAAGGGCTGAATATAATTGTTTTAATGTATTTTAGTAATTTTGTTTCGTTTCTGAAAACAGTCCCTGCCTCATTTGTCAGAAGAGCTGTTTTTAGTTCTCTCCAAATGAACATTTCCATGCTATGTGCACTTCAGTTTGGGTCTGAAGGGGAAGGAGATGGGAAGAAAACCAGTTCATTACACAGTCATTACACCTTGCAGTATTTTCCATTGAGGAACCCTCTTCAGTTGGCAGTTTCAGACAGTATTAGATACTGCCATATTTGGAAGATGGGATCGTTAAGTACTGATTATTTTCATGCTTTGAACTGTTCTTTGTTAGACAAGGTTGGGGGTTTTTTGGATGGAGTCCTTTGAATTCTGGTTTGGCAATGAATGGAGCCTGCTTTCATAAACCCTCTGCAAAGTGCAGTTGGAAAGACTTACACCATGCCTTGTCGTATTCCTGATTAAAATAGCATTTATGTTTTCCTGAGGGTTTTCTGGTAGCACTGTCTGTGATAGCAAGTAAAACTGATTTATTAATATTCATTATCTAAACTCCTCCCTCTGGAAGCCTATTTCTTTCACCTTCTCCTGTCAGAACTTTAGCAAGAGCAACAATTTTTTTACAATAAAACAACATAGCTAGCAGCTCTTTCTAATTCATCAAAATCCATTTGCAAGCTTCTGTTTTGATTGGAACATCAGCCAAAAACATACAGCTGATTCAGTAAGTGAAACTTTTAGCCTTTGTGAACTGTGGGAACTCTTGAAATTGTTATATCAATTACTCTTAAAGTTACAAAAAAAAAAAAAGTGAAAGATACAGAATTGTCTCAAGTCTTGGCTAGGTGTTAGGCATTTGAAAGTTTGATTTTCTGTATCCTAAGAAAGATGATGCTTTAAAGCCTTCTGCTTGTTTGAGTAGAAGGCATTCAGGCGTTAAAGTTAAATTACTAAGCATTGAGTTTCTTGCAAGGGGACCACTGTTGACTCTCCATGGCATGAAAGGCAGATACAATTGAGGATGTAACAACCAGGAATGAGTGTTAACAGAGTGCTAAGCTCCAAGCAGGGATGCTTAGTACCACTGTGTGTGGAATGCATACGGTAGGTAATATGAGAGGTTGACAGCGATGTTAACAGGTCTCTCCAGCAGTAACTTCATCTGCAGATCTACAAATGAAGTAGAGGAAGGAACCTTTCTGGCACAGACTCTGCATGGCAACCAGATTAGCTTTAGGTTCAAATACCACTGCTTTTCACCCTCATCATACAGACAGCCTTAGGTAGATCCTTGATCTAGCGAGTTGGCTGGCCAGGGGCAATCATACTGCCTACAGGAATAGAAGAGCATCCACGTGCTGCTTACATTCAGGGAAGTTAAGAACATATATCAGTTACAAAAGACAGTGTGTTCCTTCTTGAATTTATTGTCTCAGTTACCTTCAATATTTACATATATGCATATGTTTGGTATTTGAGTAACAGAAATTACCCTCCTATGGTTCTTTATACCTTTTAATGTTATGTCATCTAAGAGGACTGGGCTGAATTAAGGCACATGGACAGAGGGCAATCAGAGGCAATTGTACTCTGTGGCACTCTGCAGTTCTGGTCCATGCTCTTCATGGTAAGACAATGTTATTCATGATGATCATTTGCCACTTCTGTAATAAAGCAGTGATAGATTCAGTGAACAAATTAGATACAGTCACTATTGTTTCCGACAAAGAGATTTCTGAATTTCATGTGAAAGCAAGGAAGAAGTAGAAAAGGTGTTCCTGATAGGATATGACTCTCTGGAATTAGTCTATGATGAAAACCAAAATTTTATGCCATAATTGCAACCATTCTGTTTGTACCTTGCAGTGAGCCACCTCTATGGATTTGGACTGATGGATGCTGAAGCAATGGTGATAGAAGCAGAAAAGTGGACAACAGTCCCTCCACAACACGTGTGTGTGGAAAACACGGATCGGCAAATCAAGTAATACCCGCTGCCAAAACTCTTGCTGGCATAAACTTATGGAGAGAAATTGGGTATAATTTACCCCTCCCTTGCATTGTGTGTAGTGTGCCATTTTGAAAGCTGTACTGGGAATCTTTGTCGCCTCCACAGATGTCAGGTCATTTGCCTATAAAGGTTGTTCCATGTAGTGCTTGGAAAAAGGCCCTAGTTTAAAGAACGTGCCAGAAGTTGAAAGTGTAAAACAAGCCAGGCTGAATAATGATTGATTCCGGTATAGATGATGCACTGAAGAAGAATGTTTGGTTGAGTGCACTGCAGTCACCTTTGTAAGATGAGTACAGACTTATCAGTCCAGGATCTAACAAGCAAATTCTCTTTTCATTAAAATACTTCATAGTATTGTCCCTTTCAAGCAGTCTCAGGAGAGACTAGCTCAGAGGCTAAGACTAAACTGCTTTCTGCTTGCTAGGATAGGGTGTCTATAGAGCCAGATGTAAGATGGAAATTTGTATGTGCACTCTGTGGATACAGAGACAGCATCAGTCATAAGGCACACTTCCAAAGCGTTAAGATTAGTGTTTGCTAAATGTGCTTGACAGGCTTGATCCATAGCTGGTGTAGTCTGCAAGGATGTCGTGCCAATTTAAACCAGCTGAGTCAGATGCCATTTCGTACAGTTAACATGTAATACTTGCTATTACTTAAACAAGGACTATGGCTATGCCAGGCATTTCCTGGGGCTTAACAACCAGCTGTGATCCCGTGACAATCCCAACAATTCTCAGCTGGCCACTAATCCACAAAAATGCTCTGTCCCAAAGGTTTATTCCGATTACAGGTTTTTCACTGTCCTCTTTCACTGTTAAGCACATGCTTAACAGAAAGCCAGGTAATTGCCCTTAGCTGCGGTAAAATAATTACCCTGTAGTGATAGTTTCAGCTAGGAAGTAAGTGTTAAAACTAAGGGTTTTAGGCTACTAACTTCTCAGGAACAATTGTCCAACACTGTCATTCACTACTAAGCAAAAAAGACATGGTTGTCTTATTTTATAGAACAAGCAAGTAATGCTGATGTTGTTTTATATGCTTATATTACAGAACAATACGACCTGACAGTATTGTCCGTTCAATTTACAAAGCCACTGGCTGTTCAGATAATCCTAACCACCATGTGATCTACTTGGAGCATGTCGTTGTGCGCATCACTATTACTCACCCTCGACGTGGAGACTTGGCAATTTACTTAACCTCTCCTTCTGGAACTAGGTCACAGCTCTTGGCCAACAGGTATAGTATGACAATGCAACTTCATAGTCCAACCAGCATGCAGAGCCTTCACTGAGATTGCCACACCAGCAAAACACAGTCAAGTCGTTACAGTAGGCTCACTGGCTGACACAGGCTAATTATTTTTTCTGAGACAGATGAGTAAAGTGCAGATGAACTCAAAGATGGCAATCTCTGTCTTCAGTAGAAGAGTGGGCTGTAAAGCTGTTGAAGGGCACCATCTCCAAAACGATTAGTTGGTATCAATAGTCTTATGTGGCTCACCAGTTATTAGATGGCTGGAAAAAGTGAACAGAATAGCAGTGGGCTCAGTGTTACAGAGTGGAATGGAAGTGTGTTTCTACATGCTATTGGCATTTATTTTTCATTTTTCTCCATTATCCTTTGTTCACTAGTAATGAAAATCAGACAGAATAGTGGTTCTCTACTTGTATTTTCTTTAAGCTTTGTGAATATGGTTATGACTCCTGGTGTTACCAATTTCCATATCCTTTTTTTCCCCTTACATTTTGAAGTAGTATGCTCAACCCATGAAAGGCTCCTAGTAGGACAATGCTGAGGAGTTGCACTAGTACTTTGAAATTAATGGGACCCTTTGTAAACAGCCTATTAAAATTTTTAAAAGTCAGCCATTTCCTTCATCCCACATATGGATACCTGTATTTGAATGTCCACCCACTCTAATGTCAACCACTAAGAAAGATCAGTCCTTTTTCTCATCCTGTCACCTCTGTGTTATGTTCTTGGAGAAACTGTGACACTGCATCAAGCTGTCTCTTTTTCTCCAGAATTGACTAAACCAAGTATCTCTTTATCCAATGCAGTATTTCTAACTCTAGTGCAATTTCAGTCCCTGGAGATCACGTGCATCATTAGTGTTTGTACTCAGCAAACCGAAAGACTTCCCAGTGATATTTCTATTTCTCTGGTCTGCTAGCAAAAATTTTCTTGGAAAAATAATGGAAAGCATGGACAGTCCTTCCCAGATAAATCTTGCTAAATGAGTGATCAAGAGCACTGCCAGAAACCCCAGAAACCTTCTCAAATTCTACCCCATTTCCAAACGTGCAAATAAGTTACAGTTAGAATAAGAAGTGCTTCTATGCTTCTCCAGGTGGCTAGAAAATCTTCTTCCTGATGGAACCATGGTATGATAGGGTAATTTTTTTCCTTGACCACTAGCAGATTTGGGTGACTGCCATTCTGCTGGACACAGGGCATGGCTCCCACACAAAAAGTGATGTTAGCTGGTGTTATATATCTCAGAAACAGCAAAAGCTGCCATATGTCAAACCTTTGTTGTAAAGGCTCTTCTGCTATCCCACTCAAGACTTCACAGAAGTTTATATCCCCAGTCTTGCTCTTCAGGGCTTTTAATGAACTGGGAGTGGCCTGCTTTCCTGACTGCCTTGTCATCCACATTCCCCCAGACAGATTTGCATATATTGTGATTATCTAAACCTGGAGACTTGGCTGTCTTCCTGTCCTTTAGTGGTAGAAGGACTTCTCTTTCCTCTTGAAAGAAAGGATCTGTTTTGGAGACAGGTGGAGCTCAAATGGACTTGGTTCTGATTGAAGTGTGAACCCACATTTTCATAGAAGATTAGGCTAATTTGAAAGAAAAAGTGTACTGAACATACTCTTCAAGTTGTAGACATTCATTCATCAACTGAAAAGAAAGTTGTCTTGGAATTCTGGGACTGTTTAAAATATCTCTGGTCTTTCATTATGAGTGTTGTCAGTGCCTTTGATAAAGCACATGGGCACACACATCTATGTATCTCCCTGCTACAATGAACAAAGAATTTGTCCTCAGCTAACCAGTTCAGAGGCAGACTTCTACCCTCTAAGCAGTTATGAAACAGTTGTTTTTCTGTTTGAATAAATCCTTCTTTAGTTTTCTATTCCATTTTCATGCAGCAGTTCTTCCATGTTCAAAATGAAAAAAAATTTAAAGTCCTCCAACTAGGTATCCAAACAAAACAGTCTCGTGTAAACCCAGTGGTCTTAAGACAGCTAACTTTTGGCTCTAGGCTTTCATGTCTTGGAGCTGAGTCACAGCAAGTGGGAGATAAAGACATTCCAGTATCCACAGTTCACCTCTGGTGATGACTGGTATGTGTAATAGATACAAAGCTTAATTCAAACAGTCTCTTTGTAAGCCCTACCCCTTAGAAAGTAATTATTTTCTGTACCTGTGGTAGAGAGAGAGAATGCAAATGTGTGTAATAAAATAAGGTAATGTTCAGCTGTTTATTGTCCTATACTAGCAGAAGGCTAACCAGAAAAGAAGGAAACCTTAAAGGCCTTTTAATGTTTTGGCACTTTCCAAAAAAACAAATTGTTCATGACAGAGCGAATACTCATACAATCACACCAGAAATTCCCTTCCCATGCAAGCTTCAGAGATACACTGACTTGCCAGTCACATTTGGCTGAAACAAATAACCCAGGGCTACTAATAATAAGGAAGAAATGTGCTTTGCAAAGTCTAGATCTGAAATACTTAGCATCTTCACAAACCCTTTTTTAGGATAAAGTGATGGATATGGGCACAGTACTTTTCAAAATGGTATTTTAAGGCTTGCTTTATTTGGTCATGCTTGAAGAAGTGTTACAGCTTGATGGTTTTGCAATTAGTAGTATACTGAGTGTTATTGAGTGTATACATTTTAGAATCATGTTATAATAAAAAAATTGAGTAGGAGTGTTGTTATGCACTAATATGAGAATTTAGTTATGAGGCATTTGATTTTTAAAGTATTATTGATGAGGGCATCAGAATAAATGCATTCAAGTACAAGTAGCATATAGGGATGCATTGGTAGCAAGCGGGTTTCTTCTATAGGCAAAGGTCTCAGAAGCCCCTGTACATTGCTGCTACCTGACTGAGATGCTTTTCTCAGACACAAAAGACCTCTTAATGCACACTTATATGATTAATAGCAGCAATACCAGTTGTTTTACTGAACCTAGGGAAAACCTCATTGCTCTACTATTACTCATCTGTGTTTAATTTGAAACAGTTTGCTGGTAAAATGTCTTAAAGTGAGAAAAGTATATTTTACACATGTGCACTTCTCCTCCACCAATTCTGGAAGACGAGTCATTGTGCAGTTTCTGGTGCATTGACGAGTACGTCCCTCAAGGCAATATCTGGCCCTTTTTCTGCATATTTTATCCTTAATGTTGGCATCCCCTAAAATGACTTCAGTAAGAAAACTTGTTAGTCAGAGGCGATACAGACTCCTTTGCAGGCATTTGGTGGATTACACTGTCACTGGCTTGAGCCTCATGTGCATTCTTCAAAAACTGCATTACAGGGAACATCTGCTTTGTTGTTTGGAAAGTACTAAACATGATTACACTGTATGTACTGCAGCAGAGGAAAATACAGTCTTGGAAAGTGCTGGCTGGTGTGAGGACGAGGCTACAGTTAAGTCCAGTATAACCTTTTTAAAAACAATTGGCCATTGGATTTGGCAGCATGGCTTTTTGAGTGTTTTTGAGATGTACCAAGGTCAGGTCTAAAAGGCACTCAGTACAGAGAGGCTATGGAGGAGTAGCTAAATACAAACAGGATAGAAGAAGCAAACTTAGGGCTCATTCGTCTCCCAGTGAAGTCATGGCTTGTTTAACTCTTGCCCTTTAAATTTAAAGCAGCTGCTGCCATTTGAACTGCATAACTGAAATTTTTGAGCCACGTGGTGGCAAGTTTCCAGGCTACTAGTTTCCTATGCTTATATGGCACTGACATTAATAATACCTCTGTTCAGTAACAAAGGGAAGTATTATGACCATCTTTTTTCTATCATGAAACCTTAGATAATCAGTATATTTTAATGATACCCTCCTCTACAGGAAACTCTTAGATCAAAAATAAGATCACAGAATCACAGAATCACAGAATGTCAGAGATTGGAAGGGACCTCGAAAGATCATCTAGTCCAATCCCCCTGCCGGAGCAGGAACACCTAGATCAGATCACACAGGAACGCATCCAGGCGGGCTTTGAATGTCTCCAGAGAAGGAGACTCCACAACCTCTCTGGGCAGCCTGTTCCAGTGCTCTGTCACCCTCACCGTGAAGAAGTTTTTTCTCATATTCAAGTGGAACCTCCTATGTTCCAGCTTGAACCCATTGCCCCTTGTCCTATCACTAGATGTCACAGAGAAGAGCCTGGCTCCATCCTCCTGACACTCACCCTTTACATATTTATAAACATTGATTAGGTCACCCCTCAGTCTCCTCTACTTCTCATCTACTCTGACTTGATAGTTTGCTTCATAAAAAGTCTTGGTGATCAGAAGCAGAGGAAACATTTTCTTTATAGGAGCACATTTTGATTTCTGGACCAGTCCGTCTTAGATCTTTATTGCAGTTTATGCAATTGTACTCTAATAATAAAACCAACATTGTATGTATGTACAAAACCAACATCTATATATCCAAATATGATTAAAATTATAGGGCCAACCTTCACACTGAGTCTCACAGTAGCTGAAAAGGCCTTTGTGGTGGTATTATTACGGACAGGATGAGCAAACAATAATCCTCTGCCTCTACTATGTCTACAGGATGAAGCAGTTCTTGGAAAACTATTTCTCCTGGCTGGTACTTGCTATGTTTTATTTAATTCAGGTTGTCTATATATATTCTTTTTTTTTGTCTGTGGGGAGCAGGTGAATAAACATCCCGCTACCCTTTTACCACCCATTCTTTGAACTGCACTTACAATGTCAATACCTCTAAAAATCCTTTTCTTTGTTATACTCTGGCATTATTAGCAGCAGAAAAAAAGACGGGGGGGGGGGGGTGGTCTGGGCATACTATAGACACAACATTGATTTTTTTAAAAAGTAAGCTTCTTTTTTTGTCAAAGAGGGGAAAAAATACTGTTGATTTACCAAGGTCTGCAGAAGAGACTAGCGGGGTTTATGTACACAAGAGTAAATGAATGCATGTAAGTGACACTATCCTCCACGTAACTCTAAAATTGA